CCACCACAACCCAACTTCCCTCCCTCCCTCCCGGTCCGGATACCCAGCAGCTTACCTCAGCAACGGCAGCAGCAAGGCTCCCCACTCCTGCTGACCAGGACAATCCTTATTGCAAAGGGGAGAAAGAATCCGAAAACAACAGCAGCCACCAAAAAAAGGGAACGGCCTCCTGCTGAAAGCGGCAGGTAAATCCCGCAGTAACGAAGGAGGCGAGTAGAGATTGGGAAGTCTGAGGGCTCTCTCTGTGTGGCTGCTCTCAGCTCACTGCAACCCCCGGCTTCTCTCTCTCTCTGCTCTCGGAGGGCTCCGGGAACCAGCTTTCACCTTTTGTTATTAGTGTTTGCAAATGTTTGACTTATTGCCTTTCCCTCCGTCTCTCTCCGTCTCTGTGTCTGCCTACTATAAATGGAAGTGGGTACAATAGGCGGGTCAGGCTGGTGATGGTATGTCTCAGCTGAGATGATGATGAACAGTGCTCTCTTTCTCTCTCTCTCTCTCACACACACACAGTCTCTGGGCACTGGCGGTGTTTCTGAACCTGAAGAGGTAGTATGACAGAGAGAGAGAGAGGGGGCGGGCGGGGGAGCGATCCAGTCTTGACAAAGCACAACATGCTACCTAATTGCTGGGTGTAGAATCAAGCCCGTACCTCCCCCCACCTCAACCCCCCACCCCCTGCACGTCGTATTGTCTCCAGAGAAACCTAGAGACGCGAGGCTTGCTCGTGGGCTAACTCTCAAATAAAGCAAGGTTCAGTGGGAAGATGCAACAGCACGGGGCCCCGGGGGACATGGAAAGTGGGGGGAGAGAGAGAAAGGTTTAAACTGACCTTCACTGGGTCCGGGGAGTCCCAGTTAACCGTGACGCAGCTGGCTGGCCATTTCTGGGTGCTGCTCATAGGAGGTTTGCACGGGTCTAGAGGGGTTCCTCCAGCACTAAATTGGCCCCCAGAACGATTCAGAGACGAAAGACCGCCGCCAGTTTCTGAAGACACTGCATGTGGGCAAACTATTTACTGGCACGTGTCTCACACTTTTGGAAAGAAAGCGTTCCTGTCCGCGCTGGGAAATGCTGGGTTAAATACACAGCAGCTCGCCATCATTACCTCCAGCCCTACCCAGTCCAGGACCTCTCCCCATTGTGTTATTGGCTGGTGACACTGTCCCTCAGAGACCATCCAGGTCTCCCCCACTATGTGTGTGTCTGAAGTGGGGTGGGCACGTATTGATTTGTGAGGTGCAATGTTTCTGGCGTATGTTGGGGGGCATTGCAATAAAAAAAGAAACAAGCAGGTATCACAGAGGGCACAGGAGACTCACCACTGAGTTCTCTCTTGACACACTGCCTCCAGCATCATCATTTCAGATTTCCTGCAGCTGCAGTGTGTGTGTGTGTGTGTTTTTAATGTTGTCCCAGGTAGCGTAAGAAAAGAAAAATAAACTTTCTTAGGGCAAAGCAAAACGACACCTAACGGGCGATTAAGCCTGGGGATTAAGCCTAAGAGGAATGTTGAAAATCTGAAATAAATTGGCAAAGTGTTGGGAGCAGGGGACGGGTTACAGCGCAGAGAAAACTCCCCACTATCAGCTGTTTAGAGATCTCGATGTTTCACTTTCTCTTTCAGTGTCTTGTCAACATCAAATGCTGAACATTAGTTTAGCGGACGGTCTGGAGTCGTTCCAATAGCAGGCTATTTTGATTTTGTTTGGCAGGGGCTATAGGGGCTACAATGTGTTGCTGGGATGAGTTAACGAACTTTTTTTTATTGTAACGAATGGGTTGTGACTGGTTCCTTTCACATAGCTAGATGGCGCAGCCTCCATTCAAACAGTATAGCCGAGCTCTCCCCTATACTAAATGACAATCCCGAACTTAGTCAAGTTAGCCCGCTTTCTCTGTGATGTCCTACCTCACCTTCTCATTTTTCAAACTTCCCTGTGGTTTCCAAACTCATGAACAAGCCTCTCACCGCTAAAAAAATAAAACAACTAGTAATCGATTGGAAGTGAATGGAAAGGCGGTACTGATTTGTTAAAGGATTGAAGCGTAAAGGGAGACTGGATTGCTTAGGGCTTTATTCACTGGGTTTAGAAGACTGAGGAGGGATCTCATGGAAAGCTAATTCTGACACTAGACAGGTTTAGCGCAGGAAGGATGTTATTGATGACCAGGATATCCAGAACGAGGGGTCACAGCCTAAGTGTATGGGGTGGGCCAGTTAAGATTGAGATGAGGAGAAATTCCTTCACACAGAGAGTGCGGAGCCTGTGGAATTCTCTGCCACAGAAAGTGGTTGAGGCCAAACTATTGAATGTTTTCAAGGATTTAGATATTGTGCTTAGGGCTAAAGGGATCAAATGTTATGGGCTGAGTTAGATGATCAGCCATGATCATATTGAACAGCAGAGCAGACTCGAAGGGCTGAATGAACTCCTGTTTCTGGGACAGCAAGTTTTAAAGATGGTCATAGAATTGTTCATAACCAATTAGTAATATTGGCTGATAATTGTATGTTTTGAAACCTGAACATTGAAGGGAGAGACTGATTGGAAATATCCTTTGGTTCTGATGAACTATTACCACATACATGACAAATCAGTGAGAGTATGAAAATGTGCTGGCCCACTAATCTGGAAAATTAACCTCAAATTTGGGATTATCATTGGCATGGACTGTTTGGACTGAAGGCTCCATTTCCGCAAGGCCATGACTCTATGACTTTATCTGGGAAGGAATGATTTGGGGATGTAAATGAACTTGGTAACTTTCAGAGGCCATGTAGTGATGCAACATTAACATAAAATGCTTCTCTTTTAAGTATTTTAGAATTTAGTACAATTTACATACACTCTTATTAGAAGCTTAAGCATCAATGTAATAACTCATTACTCAACCTGTTCAGATGCATGAATACCAATTGCATTTTGAATTAAACATTTTGTATTCAAGATTCTCTTCACTTTAACTACACATCCCCAGTGATCACTGATTTGGTGATGGGGAAAGGGTGTCTGGGCTGGGATCAGGCAGTGGTGGGGTCAAACATTGATTTCCAGACTGGTCATGAGATGGCCAAGGTGCTGTGTTAACTGTGTAACAGGTAACCCCAGGCAATGGCTCCCTCCATACAGACCATACTGAAAGTTGCCTCCACATTTTGTTTTTTACAAAACTAATGGTCACTGTCATCAGAATCTTAGAGTATGGACAGTATCTATGTAAAACTGGTGGCTCTGGTGAATAGATAAAGAGGGGTCTGTGGAGTAGTGGTAATGCCCCTACCTCTAGGCCAGGAGTTCTATGTTTTAGTGTCAGCTTTCTCCAGAGGTGTTGTAACATGACTGAACAGATTGGTTAGAAGATATCTCCAAATGATCAGTCTTATGCAGGCTTTGACTCCTTCAGCAAGACATTGTTTTGTGCTAAATGGGGCTAAGCCAATGGTTCGGCCAATGGCTCCAACTCTGAAGACTGGTAACACCTGAAATGTGATGCTGAAAATCAGCCCCCAGCAACTCTTAAAGAAATTTCAAGAAACCCTCGCTTCCTTTATAATAATGGACTTTCAATACATCTTTGATAAGGTGCCATGTAACAGACCCATGATGAAAATCAGGGAATATTGATTCAGCAATCAGCTAGTAGAATGAATTGATAGATGGCCATTAAACAGACTGCAGGGATTAAGGGAAGCTTCCCTTATCGGCAGTGAATTGGAACTGGGTCCAACAGTGAGCTTTCCCTTTGCTCATGATACACTCAAACAAGTAGGTCTCAGATACTGGAGTTATGTTCATGGAA